TTCTATTTTTACAAAGACTTTCACGTGTGTCCTTTCGCAGTCTGATTTCTTGAAATAAATTGACCACCTCTCGCTTTCCTTTGTCACTGTCTCTATTATGACTTCTTGATTTGTAAGACAGAGACAAATTGTATAGACTAACGAGTTGAGAAAACTTATGGTTGCCTCATTCCACAAGAACATTAATCCGAAAATGTCTTTTTATTGGCTAACTTTGGCACAAACATGTTTACGTAACTCTGTGTGCCGTTACACTTATGGGATGGCCGTATTTATTGGTGTTTCCCGGAACAAGCTGGAAACACTTAAGGCCATGAAACATTACGTTACTAGACCAGTTCCTTCAACGTCTACAGTAATGGTTACAAGAGAAATCACTTAGAACTAAGTTTCTTTTAAATTTACAATGACAACAATTACAGTTAAACACTAAGTATAGAGAAAACGACCTCAATATGATGAGTCAGTCAGTAAAAAACCAAAAGATTGATATCGTCAACACTCAACATGTGCTGACCGCATGTCATTTTTTCAATGAAAACGTCGGAGTTAAAAATGCATTCAAAACGTTTCATCCGTTCTCTTTTACTTTTATTAGCTTATTTATAAATCTTATTTAAAATAATTTCTTATTCAAATAAAAGCCTATAAATGTACTGATACAAACCAAGTCAAATATTGGTCGACGTTTCTGAAATCTTATTTAGTTTCTTTGGTTGGTACGGATTCTGAAAATAGCATTGTTATTTACGTTAATACAAAAACAGCACATACAAATATTTTCGTACCGCGTGCGTCAAAAAGGAGATAATTACGGTTTATAAATAGCGACATAGTTTTTACTGAGACAGGTATGTTACTATGCTGGTAACTTCTAAAATAATGTTACAATTTTGTTATCAGGGAGCCCATATCCTTGTTAAACTATGATAATTACTATGCCACGACGGTCTGTTAAACAATTTGTGCTATTTGATTAGCTTAGTTAAGTTAAATTGGACTAAAGTGGATTAAATTAAGGTAATGAAAGCAGATTTAACTAACATACCTATAGGTGAGTATAAACACAAAACTGGTAATGTTTTTGTAGGTGCGCAATCTAAATACCTGAATGAATCATTATAAGATGGGAGGAAAACCAACAGGTAACTAAAATATTGGTTGGCTACAGAACAAATATCTGACGTCACGTCTACTGAAGTTTGTTTTCAGTTTAAAATAACCGTGTAGGGTGTAGGTTACACTACAGTAGCTATAGTCATATGCATGTGTTGTTGCTGATACTCTGGCGGACACGTTAGGACGTCTGAGTTTCATAAACATCTGATCTTTACTTTCAAAATATGTTTTGGTAAAATCGAAGGACGATCCCTAACGATTAGCAATGCAAGTAAAACTAGTTTGGCGAGTCAGTGACCGCGTGCGTGCAGTTCGCGGACGCCTGCTCCCCTCTTCCCCGGCAAGGTCAAGCACCCCTCTTCGTCCCGTCTCAAGCTTGATTCCTCGATACTACCCATTCAAAGGATTCAGCACTGATCAATATTGACAAAATTATAATTTGTTGAACTTATGAATTGAATTACAATCTTTGCAACCCATTTAATAACTAATATCATTACCATCCTTTAGATAACGTTAACAACACCTGCAGTACTTATTTTTATGTATACAATAATCGATAACATCTAATTGGTACAAAAATACCTATGACGCAAAATACTGACGACCCTAAGTACACATTTTATGAAACATAAGGAAGGATGCATAATTAAATATTGAATAAATCAAGCGCTGTCGTTACGAGACAATTGTTAATTGAGAAGAATAATATTACTGATTAATACATTAAATAGAGCAAGGAACTAGATCGCGAGAAAATTCACAAGCTTGTGTGAATGTGTGAGGCATGTCGGCGATGTCACGCAAGGAACTGCTAATAAACACCATTATCGCCTGGTGACGCAAGGACTGAAAAGGTCATCTTAATTTCACGCAAACACGCTAGTCCCACTCGGAAGTAGGTACTACAAATTGGCAAGACGTTTGCATAATAGTTCCGAGAATTTTATCTGACCTTAACAACAGAAACATTGTTCTGAATCATTGTAGGAATTTAACTGTCGACGTTTAAAGCCAACTTTGAAGACAAACTTCTACATTGCGTGGATTAATTCGGTTTAGATCCTTCTTAAAAGGCATGTAACATGCCTTCGTCACGAATAATAAATGGATCTGGGATTGACTAGTATTAATGAATGTCTGGGTGACCGAATTAAAGGGTTTGGGCTACGGTCAGTCCGATATAATGGTCGACATTGACCGGTCTCTTGCAAGAATTAGACCCCTGATTGACAAATGAATGTGAGGAGTTCGGATAGCAATTTCGATATAAAAAATATGTTTAAGACTATGCAGTATAAATAAAACAGTATGTACAATTGTACAGAGTATATGGCAACCTGGCGTTACAAAAACCCAGACTCCATTTTCTAAATCAACTCGATGCATTGCGGGCTGTATGGTATAGAAATACTGTGTGTCATGCATGGTCGATTCTTTATTCAGTCTTTTATTTGAACGAGTCACGGCAGGTGAATACGTCACTGTACGTAATATAATTTGTTCCATATTGAAATACCGTGTGAACAAAATGTAACAACCGGCAAATGGTCCAGCGAAAATGCAATATCTATGCGTGATGTAACGTAACCATTATACAAGTCTGCTTCAGATTGGTGCATGCATCACTCAACACTTAATTAATAGCGATTCCATCCAATAGGTACACCATTTGTCTAGAAAAATGAAAATATAATAAAACAGAAGAACAAATAATTAGATCTACATATGAGAGCAGTTTTTAAGTCTCTTCAATATTGAATACTGAATATCGAATCAAATCTTTTGGTGGTTTGGTTGTTTGATAACAGAAAACTGACAATAAATATCTCACTATTGATAGTTAATTACCATTTTTTTATATTTGATGAATCTTTTGATAATAATTTATATCGGTTATGTGCTAATGATTTACAGAAGACCACAAGTTTAATTTGTTGTAAGGGCTAACGCCCAAGTGATGATTTATATTGTGAGTCAACTAAATGACCGTTGAGGAAATACCATCATGCAAAGGTAAAGACACTGGAGCAGTAGAGCCAAACCGTTGCTTGAACACAAAAGACACATTTGCATTAAGTGACGACGCGTATGAATGCCAATAATGGCCGATCACGATGTCAATACAGATGTGATTCGCTGAATAATACTAGGTTAGACAAACACTGTTGCACACTGAATATTAAAAAGTAAAACCACTAAAACATGTCTTTCTATTTTTTCTTCAAATAGTGGTTACTTTCCTTATACCACAATTTCCTATGAGAGACACTACTTCCTTTAATATCAGATTAATTCTGTTGTTGTATTGTTGTTGTCAATCTTATGTAACCATGTTGAATAATAAATAATTATGTAGATATTAAATAACATTAGAACCAAGAGAAAATTGCTCGATAACTTTTTCAATTTAAACCACAAAGGGAAGTTAAAAGCTAATTTACACAGGCGTGGAGCGGTCAGGTCGTAAAACGTAGTAGGAACGAGGGGTATTCGATACAAGCGCCATATGTCCATTGTTCTCAGGCTACACATGCGAACTACTAGGTCGTACAAACATTGTTATAGGCAAACAAACTGGAATCGTTTGGTTAGTAGTGATGTCACATTGATAAACGCTCCACAGGAACGAACGTATTTGATATTAGTTTTTCAAATATGGATAACAGATTCTGTTTTTTATGTAAGTACGTTGATCTTGATAGATATTATAACTGTTGGTTCCACACCAGAATATTAGCATGCAACAGCGAAGGTTAATACAACATAAATGTTAGTAAAAGATCTTCCGCATTTGCCTTATTCCTTCTACGCCAAGGTTTTTTAATTTTGAATAGTCGCAAAAATATGTGAAAAGTCAGCCTTAGACTCGTTATCAGAAGTTTCCAGCATCTAAGTTCTAGTTACTCTAAAACAATCTAAAAGCGAATTAACTCAGCATTTTTGTTCATCGCTTTGTAAATAATTGTGTAAAACTTAAAGCAAAGTTTAGTAACAACGAATTAGACATTTTCAAACTTTTAATGGTGTAAACATTGTGTTGAGCAGATTAAAACCAGTACCATAAATTCAGTACAAAATGTATGCAGTAGTGTTACTATGTCCAGAGAATTTAACACCGCAGTAAACAGGCAATACAAACAATACACTTATGCTCTACTATAAACACACTGAGCTTGATTCAATGTAGCAAAAGAAAAACTAATGCTAATAAAAGCCTTGTTAAGCCCAAGATTCCATGCAATCTTCTGCGTGTTTTTATCTCATCTTGTATTTGATGTAGTTATTATGTGTAATCAACTAATCACTTTGGGGAAAAATAGAGGCATTTCGAAAAATCTGATCATGATGAATTGTTTTAGTTATACACACTTAGTTTAAAGTTAGACGTTGCATACTTGTGCAACATTTATGACTCATTCTATTGTTTTGTTTAGGCAAGTTTTCCGGTAAGTACATAACTATTATAGTCATTCATAGATAAGAAGCCATGAATCATGAGAAATTTGACAAAATACTTCCATGCCGCTGCTCTGCTTTGTAGGAAATATTTATCGGTATCGAACGATAGCACCCGTGCTATCGATACAAGTATAAAAACAACTTTGTTATTCTGCGCATAAATAATATATATATAACTGGCACAACATAATAAAATGAAAAGCAAGTATCGATATAACATTATACCATATTAATTTGATACCATATTAGGTATTGCATCCCTCCTATGAGAGTCAAATATTGTTTAGTCATCATTTGACACGCAGACGCAAAGACCGTGATCGATCCAGCGCATTTGGATACCGGCCAAATGTGGTCTCCAGCGCAACGTGTCACCAAGCGATGAATTTTACGGAAATCTATGATTTTAAAATACAGACCAGTCTAGTGACGGTTGTAAGGTCCCATGCGGAGCGAGTCTTGCCCCGTGGGTGCGAACCATCCTTTCGCCTCCCCAGTGAACCGTAGTTTGAGGGCACAGCAGTTTCCTCGCGCTTACGTCGCCCACCACCACGTCTCAAAGAAGAGAACCAGTTGGAGACTGATCCACGGCGCTCCGGTTCGGCCGATCCCGGCCCGGCTTTGATGAACATTACTTCACAAGTTAGTGCTAACGCACCAAGCACATTACACTTTCACACACTGTGGATCTTGACCACACGAACACCAATATTAGGAAGCTAGCAGGCACAGGATACCTATTAAGCCCACAACACATTTTAAAAAAATTGCGGAGTTTTAAATAAGCAAACAAAGTGGAAAAGTGGATGACTGCGCGTCGCCGGACGTACTTATGTATCGATTCGAACATTCAAGTACTTGCCAAAAATGAAGTGAAGCTACACAACAAAGAAGTATGTTTGCGAAGTGCACAGTAAGCGGCAACGATGACACACCTGATCATAGTCGTCGTCGTAGGTGCGGGTTGCGCGGGCGCATCGTACCAGCAGTGGCCACCACAGCGCGCACACAGCAGGCGAACATGCAAACACATCGCGCGCCATACACTTCTCCTCTAAAGAACGCACTAGACTGAAGATAGTCGCGGGCGCCACCGGTCTTTGGCACCGTGACAATTACATGTACCTACATACATAGATATGGCTTCGCTTTATCTTTTTGCACGTTTGTGACAAGGCCAACGTCATAAACAAATTATGCTTCTAAAACGTCACTTTTCTAAATAAGTAAATACATTGCGCCTTGTACGCGCCATTATTAATTCGTTACATTCTACCCTCTAATTTTAAAGTGAATGAGAAGAAAGAACATGTTTTCTTTACAATCAATTTCTAACCAAGATCTAAGTCCAAAACGTTTAGATAAATATACCGAGATACAAGTAAAATGGACACCAATATCGTTGTTGCGATATTGTGGATGGACAGGCAGTTCTGTTATCAAAGCTTGCAACCACAGTGCGGAAGCGGCAAAGGAAATATGATAAATCCATCGCGAACAATGTCCAGTTCAAATAAATGAATATAGTTTCTCGCCTCGACAAAAGCTTTTACTCCAAAACTTTCAATCTTTGTTTATAGTTGGACAAAGATGGATAAGGATTTACCCAATGCTGCTTTTATTGCACATTATTTATGATCTATTATTAACTTAACCGTTGTTTTTATCGGTAGTTAAGTTCCATATTAATAAGGTTAAACGAAGAGTTCAACATAACAGTGCGTTCAAACTGCATAATGACACGAGGTGGATTAATCTATGACCTACGCTCTTTACTGCTAACTACAGATAACTTTATTACAAGGTATCTACTTTAAGATACAGACTTATAAGATGAAAATATCGAACCAAAGTTATTGAAATGACCGTCGTTGCTCGGTTTCAAGTACAAAATGGAGTGCAGAATAATTGTCTGGCGCGTATTTTCCTCATAACAATATTAGTCAATTTATAAATTCCCATATAAATATATTGTTTTTTTTTTACTTTGTAATTTAGATTAGATGCTTTGATGTCATCATAACATGAGTTATTTGCTATGCGAAGATAAATATTAATGAAGGTTAACCAGTTAAAGAATTGAACAGTAAACAACGTAGGACACTCTTTGGCAAATAATTAAGTCATTTAATTAAATGGGCTTAATTATTTTACTATTTACAATATCAAGAAAAAGAGCTCTTCTTAAACCACAATGACATAAATCACGGTATAATAACAAATCTCCCGGTGTCCGACGACGTAGTCAACGCAATTTCCACTTATCCACCTTATCACTATTAACTTACGGGTGATATCACTATTCAAACACGGTGTTATGAATAAAATTTTTCACAAATTTTAGTTATAACTCACGATTTTTATAACGGAAGTATTATTTTTGCACAACACTAGGAATCCAAAGTGATAGTGACAATATATAAATAAGAATTCGACAGAGGGCGACACGTCACGCCCGCGTCGCGGCCCGGCTCGCACTGTCTTACTACCAGGCTGTGTAGTAAGCCCAACCCAAGCATTGACGCCTTACGTCAGACGAGTCCGCATTGAATGAAATGGTTGGTTAGGGAACGGACGGGGTACTCTCAAAGCCATGTGGGGGTTTAAAACGCCGATTTATTAAATCCTCTATTTACAAGGATCTTCGACGTTTTGCTTTAAATGTTTTTTTTTGTCATTTTTAATAACTGCTTATAAGATGAAAAATATTAATTGCCAACAATTATATTTTACTTTTTGGACGTTTAGTCCCAGACTTTAACTGATCATGATCAATGAACAATTTGTAATACAATTTATTTATGTATAATCGTAATTTGTAAACGAATCATGGAAGTGATTGTGATAAAATGTTGTGATAAAAAATGATATTATTTCGCAATTTGATTACAAAATAAATACCATAACATTCGTAACTTCATATATTTAATTCGTATTATTTAGTTTCACTGACGAAAGCAAAATTTTCCCGCCTGCAAATTAATCGGATACCAAGCCAATAAAAACAAGAACTGGTTTGGGCGCAAAAAGTATGTTTTTGTCATAATAACAGATAAAGAATGGACGCTAGTTTAATATTCTGATATTTAGATGTGCTGAGGAATAATTAGAATTTTTTTTTGACCTACATAACAATAACAGCCGACTATTTAATAATTGTCGGATAAACGGAAATCGGCGGCTTGGGGATCAAAGTTGGTTTTCGTTGGCTAGTCGTAATTTAAATTTAGAGGAAAACCCGGGTCCAAATGAAGATCATAGACAAGTCAATGTTATACATATAGGCATAGTCACTATATTTAAGTAAAAAATAAAACATGCTCACTTAGCAGGACCCTGGAGCACTGCCGTGCCCCCAGGTCATACGAGTTCTTATTATGAATACTCCACAAAAGTAATTTAAAATTACGAAATACTACATTTTTAAATTAGAGTGTTAAGCATAAATTGTTTTTAGAAAGTATTTAGAGGATAATAATATGATATTAAAGTCATGTGTCTGGCAACATTTTGAGGATATTGATTATTTATTTTGATTTTAATGTTTCTATGATGGTGTAATTGATTAAATTGTAATTAATTGAAATATATACACATACATATACACATGTGTATTTATTTTATTGTGTACCTATATCTAGCCTTCTTAATGAACACATTTCATTTTAGAAGACACCTTATGTCAACCTCTCCTCTTGTTAGACCAAGCAAAGCGAAGTTTGAGTTTGCGAAACAGGGCCTTACATAAATTGATGGATAAAATTATTTAAAAAGTACAGTAAATATACATTGTTGCAATAGTACAATAATGGTACAATTTCTGTACAGTGGTGTAATTTAAAATTTGGTGTATTTTCCATATGAAATGCCACAACAATATATGTGTCAGAAATGGTAGCAGCTTAATTCGACATCTTTAAGATGTTAATCTTGATATATTCAGGCATGAACAAGTAAATAAACTAGGTTTAGATTGTCATATTAAATTAACATGCTGTTTGTATTGAGTCATATTTGATTCTCAGTTTCAATAATGTAGTGAGAATTTATAATTTACCATATCACATATTTCGATACTTAGTTTATAAATGTAATTTTAGTATTGGATGATTTCTAAAATTGTTATTATTGGATAATAAGAGGCTATGATGGGTCAGATGCCTGGATATACATAGATTTGGCGATTGCAGTTGGTCACTGAATTTTTAGAGGATAGCTGACTGTTTTTCGGAAACTGGTTGTAATATACGGCCAAACTCAGGTCCTATTGCATTGGGTAATAAATAAATAAAATCATAGTCACTGTTTGCTTTGCTTATGCAAACTGAAAGGTTTCACCAGAATTAAATAAATGTACAACCTTCTTGAAAATGTTTTTGAAGGCATGTTTACTAGGTAGAAAAAGCTTTATTAACTGTTAATAGATGATTTTCTTTCCAAATATAACATCATAAAAACACTTTGTACAAGGATATAAAGTTTTGTGATGATTTCATTGCAAGCATTTCAGATAAGATTATAAAATTGTTTTGATTAGAATATTGTGATATCCACTATAAAAATAACTATGTTTTAATCATTGCATAGTACATTACATTCACACACAACAGGTTTATGTAGTAGCTGTCACGATGAGAGCATCAGACGTAAACTGAAGTAAACAGGTATAAAAACATCACATACGTAACACTGTTTTGGACAGAACAAAACTAGAAATTCAATTTCATGTGTTACCGAAAATATAATTTTGTTGAAAGCCTGCCTATTAACTACTGGTGTCAGCTATTAATCAGTTATTTACACGTAACTACGTGCTACGTGATTTCTTACTGTCCATTGCTTACTCATAGGCAAGTAGACTGTAATTATTATCAGATTGTCAGGAGAGTGAAGCCAAGCAATTCGATGTAATTCACTCACCTGAATTTCCAACAGCAATTCTGTTTTCCGACGCCGTATATCTATTAAAGTCTTTTGCTGCTCAGGTGTCAACTCTGAAAAGAACGGTACAGTAACCTTATATATCCAGCAGTAATAAAAACCTAGCCATTGAGGTCATGTTATAATTGGAAAACAACTTGTTCTACGTCTACAATAGAAGTAATGATACGAATTACCGGCATGAGTGAATGGATCACCATGATTACTTGCAGCATTGTTTCCTCCAAGGGACAAATTTTCAAATTCACTTATCATTTCTCAAAATATTTAAAAAACTGTAAACAAAAGTTTACATCGTTGTGAACAGAGTAGTCGCCATATTTATTTACTACACTACAGCGCCACAGTGATTATTCGCGTAAACTTACGCCACGCCAATCTTTCAAACTGACAACCCCTTGTCAACTGTCTTTGCTCGTTGTCTATGATATTGGGGTAGTATAATATCCTAAGTTCGTTCGTTATACGTACGTAACATCGTAACAATCAAAATGATTGGGTTATGTAACTATTTGGTTATATTTAATTAATGTATACTGATAAATTATGTTAATAAATTAATGATAACGGAAGTAATACCCTGCCATTATTTATTTTATATGTTTTCGACCTAAAATATTGGAATTACTTAAAAAGAACAAGATTCACTTTTGCGTGAAACAAAACGTTTTCAAATTATAGTTTTTTATTTTGTGGATCGAGAAAGCTTTTATTAAAATAAAATAAGATCAAACCACATGAAATAAACTTTAAACTAAATCTTAGATTCGGTATTTTATTTCAATGGGATTGGGCCTGATTTTTCTTTATAGAGAACAGACTATAGCATACAACTGTCAAAAGAATAAAAAATCGTGAAACGGTTTCCTATTGGTTGAAATTATAACAAATGTAGTTTAGTAACCAATGAATAGAGGGATATTGTGAATCGTATTGTGAGTGGTGAGACAAATGCGTTTACAGCTTTTACAATCTCAAAGTCAGCTGCGCTGTGCTTGGAGTTGCGTTGTTGCGTATTTTACGGAGAACACGCCCCCATCTAGCTTTAATTCAATCTTCATCTTGCATTTATTTCCGAGGAGTCCGACATTTCAGGGCTAAGTAACATCTTTCGTGAACGTTTACTTTATTGCCGTCAAGTTTATTTGAATTCGTGTTTCAGTGCAATAGAATGCTTATATTTTAATTCTGTGGCGTCTAAAGTAGAATTTTCCTCGCCGGTGTATTTCACAAGCCAAATAATGAATGACAATGGTTGTATACACTTAAACAATTTTAAGGCTGCGAAGGGTACTAACCCTTACAAAATCGTGCATGCATTTTTTGTGGCATGCACATCATTCGAAGCAAGGAGATACAAGGTAAGTTTTCACGTAACACAGTTGGAAAGATACCTACTTAGTGGTTTTATGACCTTTTTGCGCGTCGCAAATTGTTGAACATTGATTTTATCTATCAAGTAGTTCAAATTATGACATGTGAATTACTTTTATGCTTTGATTTGATGTCGTAGATTTATTTGTCATTCGACTGATTTCGTGATCAGCTGATTGCTGATCTTTGACCTCATAACAGCTGTTTTGTAGGATTGCTTTGTGGCCGTCGCGTGATTGAATGATTGCTCTGATTCACAGTTATTTATTAAATATGCAATTAACTCACACTCTACAAGTCATGTACATTGTTTAATACAAGCTTTTGTTTCAGCATTGTGTTAATGATTGGTGTTATACTTATCTTTGTCAATTATAAACACAAACAAAGTTTAACTTATTGCAACAATTTTGCTATAGTTTAAATAAACAATTTCATTTAATATTTGGGTATCTAAAGACAAGCAAAATAATATATCATTTATTTGTTTTTGTACAAGTAGACTACAAAAATAAAAATATGTAAATTGTCTTGCATGTTCTTTTTTCATGTGCATAACATGGTATTTAATTTATAGAAGTATATAGCATGGTATTTATGATACTTCTTAAATATAATAACTAATTACAATGTAAAACAGATGTTTGTTGAAACCTAAAGATGTAATTAACAATAATTTATTATTACAATATGTATTAGTTACTAGAAGGTCACCCTACAATGAGTACTTAGGAGATTATTTTCTAATGAAACTAGAGGAGGCAACTTGATTGACTTCTTTTGTCAGCACAAACATGTGTTTCTTTTTATTTTAAGAATTGACACTAATTCCACATTTGTATTGCTATTCAATTTATATTTAGAATAGTATTTTTTTTTTGTTTAGACTTAAAAGGATAAGCATTTTTGATTTGACATAAATAGCACAAAACAAGAGCACCTAATAGTTAGGTTATGTTAAAAACCAGTACATAAAACCAATACTATAAGAACAAAACAAACATAGATTTGTAAACACTGTATTTTACATGAAAACACCCACCACAATACATACATAATTATATTTCAGGCAACATCATGCCTGTGCTTCACCTGTGGCATGCCAGGCCCACGCATGCATTCCTGCCTGCATTGCATCTATTTCGCCTGCTACGCTGGCCACATTCAAGACCATTCAAAAACAAAAAAACACTTCCTGTATGTGGACCTTAGCTACGGAAACATCTACTGCGCTCAGTGCCAAGATTACATATATGACCGAGAACTGACTGAAATTGGTGTCACTCACAAGTTGAAGGAAGCTAAGTAAGTTCTTCAGTTTCTATTGCTTTTTTTATTTATTGTTGTAATGTTCTTGAAACTTAATGAGCTAAACTTACAGCATTGAACTTACATTTCTTTTTCAACTGATTAATTATTATGTTATTTTCACACCAGATCTTTGGGCATTAGCGTGCCGTTCATGCCATGGCTACCAAACCCTAACGAGGCCATGGCCCTCCGGCGTCTGCGTAAGCGGAGACTAATCAGCCCTCATACTACAATCGGTTTGCGAGGCCTTCAGAATCTGGGCTCTACTTGCTTTATGAACTGCATAGTCCAGGTCAGTATGCAGCAGTACTTTTATGAATTCGCAAGTCATATCAATAATAATAGGGTCTATAAGTTTTTTGGAATTGAATTGTGTAGCGTTCAGTATTTGTAATAATAAATAATTATATTAGATACCACAGGTTATTAAGAGCATAACTAACCAAAAGTGCATTAATACACTTATATTATTTTCTGCCTTATGTCAATGACGAAAAAAAGATATGATCAATTTGAATAATGAAAAATAGGTACATAACAGCTCTTTGTTTAAAACTTTACATAGATCATAAATAATATATTTAAGGTTAAACATTTAAATATCTTTCACTTATAAAGATTTTTCTTGTTTCTCTACATATTTATAATTGCAAGGCACGAGTCATAAGAGTACAGGTTGCTCCTTGCCATTATACATAATTATACTATGCGTGGTTCCCTGACACGATGATCGGAGATTAACATTTCCTGTACAATCATGACCTGAAGCATCATGTATGCAAAGTATTCAGAAGTCACATGTTTCTTAATAAAGTCTCTTTTCCTCATTAGTTTTATTATGGTTCAATTAAAATCCAATGACCTTTGTGTAGGCAATCTTTATCGCCATGTTTGACTCAATCAATTAGCACTTAATATTTAAAGTCAGTGAAGCGTGAAGCATGATTACTGATTGTTTGTTTTTAATTAACACCATAACTTAGCTTAGACTCCATAAAGATTGTGCAAGTATGAATTTTTGTTTTAGCTTTTAGAGAAAGATAAAGTTTGGATAGCATTTGGATTTGGATAGATAAAGACTTAATACAAATTCAATTAAGATAATTTTAATATTATAATGCTTTCTTCATTCTTTTTCATTGTAATAATCATGCTTTTGCATCATCAAGTGATGTAATCATTTAATACATAATTTCGATAAATTATTTAAGTTTGGTTTATTGTAATTACGATTGTTTATTTATTAGTAGGTATGGCTGTCTTCTATGTATATACCTACCTATTTATAACAAAGAAACAGGAAAACTAAAGGCTAACTGTGTAGTTTCATCTTACAGTGGTGTAGTCCCTAAGATTTTATGTACAACATTAACAAAAAATGTTTATTGACAAAAAGCTTCTCATTACATATTTGTATGGGTCTGGACCCCCCACTAGGATTCCCTGTGTCGTGAAGCCCAGTCTCTTTCAGTCAGCTAATATATTGTACAACAATGATTAGTAAATGGCCCGTTTGTGAAAGAAAATCTAGCTGGTCGTCGTCGAACCTAAATTGACCGACCGCAAGGTCATATGTTACTTTTGTCCTACACCATACAACACATTAAGAATAGACTTACGTCCTATCTATTGCTTTGTTAAACGGACCGCTCCATCGCACCGATGCGGAGTGTTTTATAATTTTTTATCTAAAATATTTTAGGCACATTTTAAAATAATTTATTACACTTTTTCAGACATTGATCCACACACCCCTGTTACGTGACTATTTTCTTGGAGAAAAGCATAAATGTAAAGCACAAGGTTCGGGCAAGTGCCTCGTCTGTGAGGTTTCCAAACTCTTTCAGGTAAGTTTGTCAAAATATTTATATAAACGTGCTCGTTTTGCGGGAAATCCTTGAATGTTATTGTGTAGCCACCCCTTTCTGGGAACTTTCCACGTGTTACCCAACTGCATGTTTAAGTATTTATAGCCAGCCTTCCTGAGAAATCAATACTGAGTTAAACCTTGAATGAAACTAGTGTGCACTACAATATTTTTTGTTTATTTTTTTATAGGAGTTCTACTCTGGTGCAAAGACACCCCTCACTTTGCACCGCCTCTTGCATCTGATTTGGACTCATGCACGTCATCTAGCCGGGTATGAACAGCAGGATGCTCATGAGTTTTTCATAGCAACCCTCGACGTTCTGCATAGGTAGGTCCTGCTTAGTGTAATTTAAAACTGTTTGAAATAAGTAGATACTAGAATAAAATTATAATATTATTATTTGATTTTCAGACACTGCATGAATGGAGTAGATGAAAACGGCGAGAAGAAGGAAAACGGTCGCTGCAACTGTATCATCGACCAAATATTTACGGGTGGTCTCCAGAGTGACGTAGTGTGCACATCTTGCCACGGTGTATCTACCACTATTGATCCGTTCTGGGATATCAGTCTCGACGTGGCTGGCCCGGGCTCGCTTGCAGCCTGTTTGGAACGTTTCACACGGGCCGAGCATCTCGGATCTGGAGCTAAGATCAAGTGCTCAAACTGCCGTGCTTACCGCGAGTCCACCAAACAATTGACCCTGGAAACATTACCCATAGTAGCAAGTTTCCACTTGAAGCGTTTTGAGCACTCTTCACAAATTGATAGGAAGATCAATGCTTTCGTATCATTCCCAGCTGAGCTGGATATGACCCCCTTCATGTCGTCTCATCGACGTGCAGTAGATGTGGGCGCGGACAACAACAACGCTCCCGAGGGAGTGTGCGAGGACAACCGTTACTCCCTGTTCGCCGTGGTGAACCACGTGGGGTCGTTGGACGCCGGCCACTACACTGCTTACGTGCGCCAGATGAAGGGAAGCTGGTTCAAGTGCGATGACCACATGATCACTCGCGCCTCGTTGCGCGAAGTTTTGGATAGCGAAGGGTAAGCTAAGGGTGTTCCTGTAGTAAACAATTTTACTGTTTAGTCAATGATATGAGTATAATTTTATTAATGGATGAAATTCTTTTTCCAGGTACTTGCTTTTCTATCACAAGACTGTTCTGGAGTATGACTGTGAAAATTCTTAGGCGAATCACAATAATATTTAAAAAATATTCAGTCATTACTTTGTATCGGATGCTAATGCATTGTCTCTTACATTTTCCTATATCTATGTATTATGTATACAAAAAGGAAAAGGTTTTGTTTTAAAACAAAATAAAATATAAGTCATCTCCCCTCGTGATATTAGTGTAGATGTTTGAAAGATGTCTCAATGATCATCATGTTCGATGTTTTCTTCGGAATCATTCACGAATTTGTTAGTTTTAAGCTTTAAGTATATAATATAAACATGTAAACTGTCAGTAGGAAATAATTGCAAAATTGTTAAATATATTATCATCTACTATCGCTATACATAACATGATAACACTTTGGAAGACTTCTAGACTTAAATGTTACATACGTGTGCTTTATTGAGCTGCAATCATTGGTTTGTATCTTCCTAAATTTTCTAAGTTTGACTTCAGTCTCTATTTTTGAAGTTAAATGAATATTTTCAATGCCAATTTTATTTCACCTGATTATGAAATATTATTGTAATAAGTGTTAGCATTTATCAATTAAGATCTATTTAGTACTGGTCGTCACAAAAGAAAAATCATTTAGGCGCTTATCCAGTGAATTATTATTAAAAAATATATCTTATCAATTATAAGAAAAATAATACATATTACTATGATTATGAAGTATAATTTCAAACGCTGTTGCGTGTCATTCCTAGTAAAAGATAATTTTGTGTTTGTGTTTGTATGGAATCATTTAGAATATGCTGATAGTGTGCGGAACAAACATTTCAATCTACCTCGCTGTTTATCTCATATTTGCATTTCACTTGAGTCGTTAAGAAATGTTTGGAAGTAGAAATTCAAATGTGTTAACATTGCTTGTATGTTATAAGGCTAATATACATGAGCGTAACGGTTGGAAACATGGCTAAGTAATGAACACAGTAACAGTACCACCGAACTATCTCCCCCACTACGGGTCTTATAAACAAAAAGTAGGATGACGCATCTACCCTATTTTATAACGCGAATGTTATTATTTATAAAGCTTTATGTTAAACAATTTTCAACACATGTAGCATGTGTGCGGAGTGTTTTATTTTTTTGTTATTTTTCGCTCATGTGTAAGTAGCATAGGTGGATTTAGGTAGTTCGTAACCTATGACTGGACTGACATTAGCTTAATGTGATATTTAATATTTATGACTTGTATTAAACGTAGTTAGTTGTATGGATTTACATTTCTGAAAGTACCTAGGTATAATTTTGTTTGATTTAATCTAATGCTTGAAAGTATGTACTGGCACATAATGAAACAAAATTATGTTATTGTAGTTTACACGTAGCGCTGAACAATAGCTTACATTCCTTTAGCTGATATCCCACAGAAATATAGACGAGTCCTAATTAACATGAGAACATTATTAAAATATAATATAATATTTTCGTCATTTGCCAGTATCTTGAAACAATTTTATTTGCATTTAATATGATTTAGTAATTTGGATCCGAGCCTGTTTTAGAATTATCTGAAATATTAGCCCATAAATTATGGTAATGATGTGATAGACACAATGTCACTACTATGTTGCAATGATTTTTATTTTAATTGATTATTTAATGCTACTCGATCAAACATATACACGTAGGTTTAGGCGTCATAAGAATCCGCTAAACATAAAAGAATACAGGTACGCTTAAATCAAAATTATGGAACTTTATTAATTGATGTGTGTGATTGAATATACTTGAGTGCAGATATTGTACCTCATTGAGCTGTTTTACATTATTTCGTCTATCATCTTCCATGTGCAATTATTGAAAAATAAATAATTTATTACAATATAAAATGCTTTTTCATAGTCGATGTTTCTGTAATCAAAATAAATGTATGAACAAATAAGTAAATAAATCTTGATGTAATTCATCCAGTCTGTATACATGTATTTGATATCCCATATTGAACCAAGTCCCAGTATATAAATAATAATAATTATATAATTGGTGTTAGTGTTCAAGTTATAATCTTAACTGTAACGTATATCGCGGTATCGTACACATGTACTATGTATGATTATCTCTATTCACTGTGAAATAATAAACGAAAGTTACAAATTCACCTGCGTTTTACTATCGTAATAGTGTCTCGCATAGATCTGCGTTCCAACAGACTTAATCCAATTTTAGTAATAAATCTTATGATTCAGGTTCAAATCTGCTGGCAAGAAATAGCCTATTCACCTTCAGCCTACTCAACCCCTATTACATGGGACTTATAAATTGTGAAGTGTGTTACATTGTACAGTGACATTAAGTGCCGTAATGTGCCCCTCTGCCTACCCCTTCGGGGATAAAAAGGCGTGATGTTATGTATGTTTTATGTTCAGATATCAAATATTTCGATTGTAAAGCAATATCGTGTATAAAGATCAAAGAAAAAGGGATTATAAATAAAATACACGATTTCGTAACAGTATTTATTACGTAAAAATATCACAAATACAACAAAAATTTTGCTTTTAGCGACATCTAAAGGTCTATACATATTTTATTTAATCAATAAATAATAATAATGAATACGTCACCAATCGTTTGAAACTACACAAATTATATAAAATACACTTTATGACAGTTATCTTAGAGTCTAAAACTAGCTAACTAGTTGGTTACAAATGATTTTGCTGCCTACACAATATTGTATTCAACGAACTAATTGTATTCGACTTTGATAAATTACACTATCACATATTTCAGACTAAACATTGCCAATTGTTTTTACGAGACGTTATATCTTACTTAGTGTTCAACAATTTAGAGGATATTATAATCGACAGATTCTAAAACGCTACAAATACTACATCAAGTTACATAGCAACAGTACAAAGATATATTATAGACATTCGAATACTGAAACTACAAAATTTTAAGTCGCATGCACCATTTAAATGGCGATAGAAATACTTAAAACAACACCTGGTGTGTTGTGGACATAAGAGTACTTACTGGTATAGTGTTAGTAACGAGATATAATTGTACTTATGTATATGTTGAATGTATGAGTTGAGATTACTAAACACCTAGAGATTGTCAAGAGATTTCGAACGTGTTCTAACAAACAACAACGATGACAAATGCCTCGACTGTTGTTACGATGACTAGGTTTATTAAGCATCAGATTGTAATTTTAGAATGACTTATGACTTGGTAAGTAGTAAATAGAGTAGAACTAAAATCATTCCATTGTATTATCACTTTCCGATTTAAAGCTTTCCATAGAATTTTGTTTTCATAATATACCCATTCTATTAGGTGGTCTCAGATACTGGATGAAACATGTCCGGGCCCCGTAGTAAATTCTAATGAATGACATTCTATTTAGTAGATGTAGGTGGGTTGGGTAAGTTTATAATAGTATGTTGTTGAGATTTTTCTCGGTCGGAGAGCCCCGCCTAGTCGAGCTTAAATATTATTTTGCAAAGGAAGTGACTGCATAGTTGATGAGTAGTATAGCAAATGGGTATATTATGCAAAACAAAATAATTTTCCATGTAGTTCATTTAGTGTTGAGAGAGGGCGCGGCGGGCGTCTCGTCGAGTAAGTTCTCGAGCTGCTTGACGTCGGTGACGGGCAGAGAGCACGCGTAGCGACGGCACACGTACGCCGTCGGGACGTCACCCACAGACCGGATACGGCTCAGTACTGAAAACAACATATATAAATGTGAATGTTTGAAAGTCAGGCACAGGGGCTGATTATAGTATGGAATAAAACACAGGGTAATTATTATCCTAAGCATGGTTGTTGGTCGAAGCCAGTATCTATTTTATAAACTAAGCTATGCTCGACACGGCTCGTACACTACAGCAACTAGATCTGCGTTTTAAGACCACCTAGCTTTAAAGATTACAATGTTTGACTAGGTCCTAAGGCTTTAATTCTATTTGTACAGTTAATTGTGTAGGTTCAATGTGACAAAACAGAAAGTCATGTAGTCAAACAATTGTAAAAGAAAAAAAATGCAATCATCATCATACATATTTTAATCTAAGTATTATTTATCCGCTTCTGATACTAGATATGACCTCATCAACTCTGCGCAGTAAAAAATGTTCAAAAATTACCATATTAGTGACTCTTGTTTATTCAAGAAATGCTTGTTAACAATAAAAGCTTAACTATATTGTTAGTGCGGTAGCAGATGAAGGGTTGAGAGAGTCAGACTCACGTATGTCGGACATACCGGCGGGGGACTCAGCGGCCGGGTCGGCGACGGCCAGCACGCGGCCCGGCAACAGGCGCGACCGGACCACGCGGACCAACTCCAACGTGCGCGGGTCCGAACAACCACCTGCTATCAGCACCTGTAACAGTGTTTATTAAAATAATGATATCTACATTGTGTTGTAATAAAGTTGAAAATCTATTACCAGTAATATCTAAGTATATAGTGTCTACTGCTAATAGATATTCGACTTTTACAAAAATCTAAGATCGAAAACATATCGGAAAAGTTTATATCTCGTACCAGTGTGTTTAGTTTTACCAAGTGTGACATTAAAAAAATCGTACAGATATAATTTAGCTACTACTGTTCTAGGTGCTATTAAATTTTGAACTTTATCACAAAAGCGTAAAGTTAAAAATAGAAAACATCGTTTACAATGGTCAAACTATGAGCATTGTAAACGACATATCCCAATCCCAATTTAGGTTAGGCTTAAGTGACCGGCTATATGATAATACTATTTAAGACCAAATATGACATCATCAATGAATGCCAAATGTAAGTCGTTGTCGTTTCAAAACATCGACTCTAGATTGGCTAAATGCCAGATAAGTTTATCGTGGAAATGTTGTATCGAACCGATTGGGAAACTATATGAACAGGGTTTTACGTTTCCTGTTTGCAATAATTCTGTGACACCATTTTCAAATGTGGTTTCAATTATACTCTTAGTCTTAACATTATTGAGCCAGAAATTCAATAGATTTCAACTATCCATTTTCGGTACTAAATTACTCATCTCTCAACCAACCTCTCTATGTGTATTTTTATCAAAACCAACCAACCTGAGTAGGAGAGTCGTTATAGAACATGAGGGCAGACATCATTTCTGGCAGAGAAGTGGGGGCATCGTTGAGTCTCTTGGAGAATGCTTTGAGCAGTTTCATGGCCATCTCTCTCTCGCCATCCCCGCCCTCGGGAGCCGCGCTCTTGTCTGCGTAGGCTGCCAAACGTTGCAAGTTGTGGCAGGCCACGCTGTTGCCTGAGGGTTCAGCGCCATCTTGATCTGAAAGGAAATATTGATAAGAATTAACAGAGTAACATTTCTTCATAGTAGAATAAAGGGCACAATAAAAAGGATGGAAAGACGAATATGGATACCGTGCTAAAAAAAAGAAACAAACGCGACTCTTGCTGGATTTTCTAAAAGTAAAACCAAAGTTGTTAAGTTTCATGGCCTGAACCAGCATATGCATAGTTCTGTGTTGATTCTGATGTACCTTGTACTTACCCTCTTTGAGCCGTAACACCACACTGGCGTCGTCCGTAGAACAGGTGTAGTAACCACCATTGACAGGGTCCCAGAACAGCTCGTTCTGTTTCTGTTGCAAGTCGCGCGCCCACTTCAGCCAACGGTAGTCCAATGACGCTTCATATAAGTCCAACAGACCCTTAATCAAGAAAGCATAGTCGTCCAAGAATCCCTTTATTGGTTCCTCACTGTCAACAAATAAAACTGATCAATACAAGTATTAAATTTCAAAATGTTAATAAATATTTTTTGTTTAAGATACACGTACGTTTGAGCGATTGTTCCATCTTCGGCTCTATAGCAAGAATGTAATAAAATTTGATTCGTCTCGTCGTACAAATGTTGTTGAATGAATTCTGCCGTTTTGATTGCATCCTCCACGAATTGTTTCTCTCCTAGTCCCTGGCCAGCTTGTGCTAAACCAGAGATCATCAAACCATTCCAAGAACACAACATCTTTGTGTCTAAATGCGGACGGGGCCTCTTTTGACGTACTTCGTACAATATCTGAACACAATCAGTTATAACTTGATCGAACTGCTCCATTGACAGTTTAAACTTCTCTGCTGTCTCTTGCTTACTGCCATAAATAATTAATACATTCTGATTGGTAAGTTCACCATGAGGATCACTTTCAGGAGAAACATTTCCATCAGCTTCTACACTAAAGTAGTCGCAGAATACATCTAAATATGAAAGTGAATCATTCACTTTTTTATGTTCGAGAAGAGATTTCAGTTCCTTATACTGCCAAGTGCAAAATGCTCCTTCTTTCTTATGAGGGGCTCCTACTTCAGGGTAAGAGTCAGCATCTTCAGCACTGTAATACCCACCTGACGGGTGTCGCAGATCTCTGTTTACATATTTTATGATATCCCGGACAACATCAGCGAAGAAATCATCTTTTGTCGCGAGGTACGCGTCTGTGTAAGCAACCGTCAGCTGCGCCTGATCATAAAGCATTTTTTCGAAGTGAGGCACGTGCCAATCATTATCAACAGAGTATCTGGCAAAACCACTAGATATGTGGTCGTGAATGCCACCCTTTGCAATTTTAGTTAAAGTGTGCAAGCACATATCCAAGCATTTTTTACCCTCAGCATTGTTTTTGTCGCGTGCATAATAATGGAACAAAAAATTGAAAATGGAAGCTTGTGGAAATTTCGGTGCTGATCCAAATCCGCCGAATTCTGGTTCATAATAATTATTGATGTACCTGCGAACACACTTTTCCCAAGTTGCCTCTCCAGGAATAGAGTTATTAGAACTTTCAGAGTCTACTAAAGATATTTTTTGCAGTGCTTGCATGATGTTCACGCTAGCTTCCATGAATTGTTCCTGATTTTCTTTCCATTTATTGGCCAATGATAGAAGAATTGTTTTAAAACCTGGCCTTCCCCATCGATCTTCAGGAGGGAAGTAAGTGCCTCCAGTGACGGGCCGTAAATCTGGAGTAAGGAAGACAGACATCGGCCACCCACCGCCGCCGCTCGTCGCCAGTATGAACAACATGTAGACACGATCAATATCAGGTCTTTCTTCACGGTCTACTTTAATGTTAATGAAGTGCTCATTCATTACCTTTGCTACATCTTCATTTTCAAAAGATTCTTTCTCCATAACATGGCACCAGTGGCAAGTAGAATATCCTACAGATAGGAATATAAGCTTGTTTTCTTTTTTGGCTTTATCAATAGCCTCCTGGCACCATGGGTACCATTGAACAGGATTATGAGCATGTTGCAGGAGATAGGGAGATTTCTCCGAAATTAAGCGATTTGTATACTTTGGTTGTTCAGTAGGTGGCATATCCGCATTAGATGTTGCCATTATGATCTTATTGTCACTGAAACTCCTTGTTAGTTGTGGGACTGCAATATTATTTGGTCCAAATGTTGACAACCTGTAAATAAGAACAACTTGTAAAATTCATATTCAAAGATTTCAGGTTGAGATTAGTTATTAATTTTAATCATTTTCTAGTAAATATATATAATCAGATACTGATACAATCATGAATAAAATCATGAATTCAAATACTTACAACTATGTAATACTCGGTTATCAATGAATTTAACAACAAACTTGATTTTTTAATTGTTCACAAAACCTTGACTGCAACAAAACAATGATAATAATTTTTAACTCGTTGAGTACCGTCATTATAGACACAATTAAAGAACAATAGGTTGCGGTCACCGGTGACCATTCGGTGTTTGACAGTTTAAGCATGTTTCATTGTTGAAACCTAATTTATGGCATTACTGCAATCTAAATGTACTCCAGTAAATGCTACAAGGATAATTGAATATTGATGAATATTCATAGTCTTATTTGATGTAATAATTACTTTATTGGATAAAATGGAATAGCCATTGTTAGTGTTAAACCTGTCCTATAACCCATGTTTTCATATACTGCTTTACAGATAGGTATTTAGATCCTATTGCTTTATAGATAGGTGTCATTCTTAAACAAATCTTGCAACGGACACATAGGTCCATGTATTTTCATGATTATATAAGCAAAGTTAATATTGGCAAAGAAGTTCATAAACCTTAATGAATTATTTATGAGAAATGGCGAGGTTTCCTTTCTCTTACATAGTTATAAACACAACATGTAAACAAAACAAGGTCAACTAATAATTACAATATTGTTGGTTTTTGTTTCATACGTTTTGATCATGTACAGATAATAATACTGTATAAGAATAGATACAGCATAAAATAAGTCAGTTTACCTTTTTGGTATGACCAAATCTCGGTGAGTGCACACCGGGTTTCCAACCAACGGCTCCTTCGTACTATTTTGATTCAAATTAAGACTTTTGAACCTATTATCACCCGTCGAAAGACGCCGCAACAGCAGGACAGCACGCCCAGTAGGCATAATAATATAACGTTTTACAATAAATTGCATTCACAACATGGAATTTCGGTTTATTTTTGTTTTTCTTACATAATTTTCTTTTCACTGCACTACGCTTTCCACGACGAAACCAAATATTGTGACATTTACAAAAGAATGTTGCCAGTGATATTTGGTAAAATTAAAAATATATTATTGCACATATTAATAACGAAAAAAGTCTAATAAAATTCTCATCTAACAATAGCACAAAAACAATAACAACCAACACTAATAAGTTATTTCAAATAGTTTCATCACTGAAATAATAAAAATAAGATTTTATTGATGAACGCCTAATATTTTATCATTGTAAGATTGTGCTAAAGATACTTGCTCTGAAAATATCATCAGGCATTATGATAAATTTCCTTTTCGATTTTCAGTTTTTCACAAAATGTGAAATCATAGTTCGTAAACGGGATCATATTATTTTTTGTGTGTAGGATATTGTGTGTCATCTGCGTACAATTTAAATCTCTAAACCTATTTAACTTGCAAAGCACACAGAAATAAGCTGTCGTGATTTTATTTCCTTCAAAACTCATATTAAGAACAGATATAATGTAAATAGAGTGCTTTATTTATATCTAAACAAACAACAATTTACCACAAGTACATTATACATACACCTTCTAACATTAAATAGGTCGTAACTGGCAAATTAGTCATAAGAAACACACGTCCCTATTATCAAACCCATTCACGTTGTGGTACAAAGCAGCGTTTGAAAGGGTCCATATATATTTAATGGCAAGTACCCTCTTATGATTCTATGCAGCACGCATGCGCTGAAATCTGGACGCCATTCTCACTTTCACTAGCATTCAGAGTGTTTTGACATAACTAAATGTCCACCGCGTTTAGTAGTCTAATGTGTTCTTGACACGAAACGTATAATAATAAGTGGTATTTTGGAAATGGAACCCCGTGTGAATTACCCCTTATGATAGTGGTGCGAACAATCAAAAAAGATAAAGGTGAGTAACCGGTTTTGGTTATGTTGATTACGGAAAAACAAACGATTTTTTGGTATAATATGTAAACATTTGATGAATTGTATGTGTTTACTTCTCTGACAGATTTATTCAAGAACTTATGTCGTAGAAGATAGGAAGATACAAAAGTTAAGCACATATTTACAAATTATAAAATCAAATAATATTTATTTTAAATGAAGTATTGTTATTTTCATTACTGTGTAGAAACGTAAACCGCAAAATTTGTTAGAATAAAGTATTTGGTTTAATTAATCACAGATGATTGATTGAACTTTATTTGCACATTGTAGTGAATGATTGTAATTATAAGAAATTCATAACGAAACACGTGTTTGTGATAATAGTTCTACTTGCCGATGTTAAGCGGGGTATGGAATTGCGGGCGGTTGCTATAGTAACGTCAAGAGGGTTGTAGCCCTCTAGCCCACAGCGTTCCGTTAACGTTTTCTCCCCTCAGCTGATTGGCCATCTTGGTGCTTCGAAAATTTGATTTTAAATTGCAGTAAATAAGGTTAATTCAGCTTAAAGTTGCCAGCGGCCAGCACATAGATACGTATAAACGTACGCTTTACGTTCCAATGGGAGAGTTGGTATTACAAATAAAAATTTGTATTCAAAATGGTCTTGTGAAATGGTAGGGGACTACACACCGATTTCGTTTATATAATTATAATTGGGGTCGGCGAAAACAAAAGTTTTTTGAAATCGGAATTTTCAAGGTCTTGAAATGACGTTATTCTATTGTTTTGAATTAGGTCAAGTACGACTCTTTTTTTAAATGAATCAATGCTAGGGCCTTATGGCGAAGGAAGAGAATTTGGCCTTCAAAGTACTGCTATAATTATTGTATTTTGTATACTGCATTTAGTGTAGTATAGGTAGGTATAGGTACATTGTACAACTCAACTCTTTATGGGAATCTTAACATAACTGCCGAAATGTTAACATTTATGTTGAATATATGCACGTTTTACTAATTTTTCATTTAAATAAAGAATAGACACACACGGAATCGTCGGATATTGTTGGTTTGGTTTACTTAACAGTTCAATAAGCAGTGAAGATTTAAAGAGTTTAGAAATAACTTACAGTACGGTTTTCAGTAACCACTTCCTACATCTTTATTCATTTATTTCAGGTGCACTGAACAAGGCGAAGATTTAAGAGAGAACAACGTGCCTTATAACCATCTTCCACGCTTAGAATATATTTACCTGTTGATACTGATTTATTTCTGTCCATTGAAATTTCAAGTCCAAAGTAAAGCGTCCATTCACCAAACTTAGGTCCCATTATCTGTCCAAAGAATAGCCTAATTTAGCATATTATACAATTGTTGACAACAGTTAATTGCAAAGTCAAATGAATATAGTATGATATTGGAAGAATTATTGCATTAGAAGGCAAGTGCAGTAGTGTGGATGGTGTTGCAAGCAGAATGTCTGTGTGGGTGGGAAGTGGCGCAGGCGGCGACATGCGCGCGCCGCCCGCCGCCACTATCCTCTCGACCAACACCTCCATGGAGTCCGGGATCGAGGCCGGAGTGCTGCCGACAGTCACGGGGTCCCTCGCCTCGGCTAGAGACTCCCTCGGATCCATATCCCGGGCAGCAGAACCACTCTACGACACAGATCATACGGACCTTGGCTCGGAATTGGACGAGGCGGAAATACGGCGGGAGTTGATGCACGATGTAAGTTTAGGAGCACTCTGTGTTGCTAGTTCACTTTGAAACAATAGGTTTACGTCATCGAAGCAATATTTGTTTAATTAAGTTACAGTTAATTTTGGGGTTATTGTACGCTAGATACATGTGTGAGTCCTCATTGTTTTTGTTTTTACCCATTTATTACACTTACGTAGCATTTGTTTCATTATGTTGGAAACCGCCTTAAACATTTCCTAATTAGTCTTAGAGTATGTGTTACTAACTGTATCTATGTTTTTTTTTCAGAAATGGCGCCTGCTGTTTGATAGAGTAAGTGTATTCTCATGAACACTGGAAAAATGAACTGGTTCCAAAAGTTGGAATGTATTTTTCCCATCAGTTTCCTGGGTTAATAAAATTGGCGCACTACTTTTGAGATTTATAAGTACCCTATCATTTATTGTGATATATGTATATGTAGCTAAGTATTTAAGTGGGTATGTACCAATTACCTAATTATTTCCAAAAACATTACATTCGATAGGAAGAGCTAAAATAATACCAAACAAGATAATAAGTCAATTAAAATGGCATACATTTGTAGGATGCGTGTGGTGATGAGATTGTCTTGATTGAACCTTAATAATTTACATTTTACATAGTTGACAGCGAGACAACGTTGTTGATGCCACGTGCGATATCTCTGTGACTTATTTTGCTACCTGTACCCTTGTGTTGGTAAACAAAAAGATTGCTTACTTAGTTTTACTAAAATCAACCTTTTATGAGACGTTTTTATGCAGACATAGCATCATCTGTTATCGAAATATTTTTCAGACCAAAGCACCCTGAAAAGTTTCCCACTTTAAACGATACCAATGATTGATATGGTGATTATTTTTTTTATTTATGAACGGATGAGTTTGTATAAACTGGTGCTATTATTAACCATGTGAATATAAAATGACAATAATTATTTTAATAGCCCGTAAAAGTGGTGACTGTCATATAAAGGTAGGAATTAAAGCCCGCATATTTCATAAAAACTGTCGTTTAAGATTCGGAAACAAATTTCAAAGAATATCCTTTGTCTCTGACTGATTAAAATGTACAGAAGCAGGATATAAAATGTTTTATAAGTAGATAAAGTGGCGGTAGCGCGCAGATCAAACGCTGTGTCGTCACGTACCACGCATTGAGATAGTGCGATACTTGAGATGGGGCGCTTCTTATTTTTTGTGCCACTGTTTTGGGAAACACATGAAAATATAACTGAAGGCACATGTGTGAACTGAGTGACGCGTGTTATGACATTCGGGGTGCCACTGTGAAATCATAATCAAGGGCTGCAGGACGTGACCGTATCGAGTCGCGGCCAAATTAATAAACACGTCGACAGGATCAACAAAGTCACACCTCTACCTGACCTTTACCACTATTTTTTGTTCAAAGCTTCTCAGATTTTCCATCGTCAAAATTATATGCAAATACTTAATCTCCGAAGAGATTATGTTTGCAGTTTTTGCTATGCAAACAGGTTGAACTTAAATAACTTCTAGGCTGACTTTGATTTTATTTGTTACAGTTCGACCCAGAAGGTTTTGGAGAGATCCCGTGGCCTGATTTCTTACAAACTCTTAAACATCCCGACTTTATAGCACAGGTGCCGCCCCACAAACGTGAAGTAAGTGGCCACATAATTCAGATATTGTTGGTACTTTTGAATTGAGGGAAACAATTTCTAAAGGATTTTTTAAAAAAGCTAAGCAGCTAAACAAACACGTTAACGGCTTCATAGCTACAATAAATACCTACAATTTGTGTTTAAAATACTAATCTCAATTTTAGATCCTCCTGGACAAAGCACAGAGCGCAACAAGCAACGCGATTACGTTCCAAGAGTTCGTCAATGTGGTAAGTGCTTTCTTATCTCGAGAAATAAAATCTGATCATAATTATGTCAGATACCACTCGTGGTCCTGCAGTGATGTACTCTTTTATAGAAGAGCCTTTGATCCTAATTAAAGCAATAGAATCATTCCATTTTATTCAAGTAATAAATATAGGGTTATATGCGTCAGTCGAGCACGGTGTCCTTTACCGCCGCAGTGGGTTAGGATATGTCCCACAACTCGCTCGCCGCCGCCTCCCACAATACAAGACAACTAAATTAAGATGCAACGCCGATTACGCTCAACTCGCGCCCGTTCCAAAACTACACGAGTCACTAAAACAAAATTCGACACCAAAGGAGTTTTACCATACAAAGGGAAAAGAGAACTTAACGTAAACCTGAAAGTTACGAGATACGAACCCTCACACCGAATGGACCCACATCCTTATCGAGTCCTTACTGTCGCGTCTCGAAAGTCGATAAGGTCCAGCACGATTTATTAGGTGGACATTTATTTTTGTATGGTTAAATATATTATCTTAAATGCGTATTAACACTGAGCACCGTCGTTTATTATTTTATTTATTTTGATTAGATCTAAGCTTTTTTGGGGGAATGAAGATAAATAAGTAAATATTTGTACACATAAAAAGTTAAATGGTTGTTTAGGAGATTATACATAGATACTTATAAATAAACCAGATTAATTTAAAGCTAATTTAGATTTATTGCAACCTAGATGATCACTGGGACCGCTATTTTTTGCTAGAATCACATCAACATAATAAGTTCAGTTGTTGATATTTTTATTGTAAAGGTTTTCGCAATCTAATCGAGACCCATTTACAAATGAATTCGCAAAGATAAGCATTAATTAAACGGATCGCCCGACGATTTTGTTTATGAGCTGTTTAAAATAATTAGGTGGTTGATCTGATTAACCCTCATTTATCAAATTAATACTCGAATATGCCAAATGCGAGTATTACCTCAATTAATTTCTTGGCCAGAGGTAGGCGATATTTTTAACAATATTTGCATAAAGGAATCTTAAGAAGCACTTTAATTCGTCCTAATGTCGATCGTAAATTATACTCCCAGACCTCTTTTATTAAGTTATTTAAAAGGGATTCAGACGAATCAAAAGTTATTGGAATTAAGGTTTTTATTGTAAAAACGTAGCTCTGAAGGATTTTAGTGACTAGTAATAGCTGATAGCGTTTTGACATTAACTAGTAATTCATGTGATAAGAAAATAAAAACGAAACGATTCGTCAATTCAAGGAATTAGTCGGCTTACCTGGCTTAGGTAGGTCTGACCTGACCAGGCGTTTGACCGTCTAATAGGAATGTATGTTAATGATTATGCTAGGTCATTGCAGAATAGGATTACCTATTTAAAATAGGATTTCTTCATTCTTTAATTAATATCTCCTTCAAAGCAGGTTCAATACAAGTTGACATAACTATAGTTTGTAACGTACTGAAATCTAAATCAATTGAAATCGCCACAATGTAACTAATTTTTCTATGTAAAGCAGTGTCATTATAAATATTCATTATATTTCCTAAGCGAACTGTTTTAAAAATCGGTAAGTTTATGATTGATTCTTGTTCGTTGTGTATGTTTATTATCATGTAAAACATATCTCCATTCTGCCTAGCAAAGCGTGTAAACGTCCGATAGAGTCATGGCCTGCATTAGTGCTGCCGCCTTTTACATTCATTTCATCGAAAAATGTTTTACTTACAATTGTGTGGAGGATCGTAAATCAAAATTAAATTCGACGTATAAACAGACAACGAGGGACAGTGTAGGGTCGTGGGCGTTCATGATGCGGCATTCTTATGCTAATCCGAGCGAACCACATTCGAACGGGGTGGGCTAAATTGTTATTTATATTGTCACCTCGCGCTTTTTTGTTCGAACCTACCAAAAGTCTCGGCCTAAATTACTGGCTGACTTCATTGCGGCCAGAGATATCGTACCCGGTGATATATGTGTCCAGCGATGCGTTTATCATACGAAAACAGCATCGTTCATTGATTTTTGAACTTTAAATTAACACCTTTAAATAAACTTTTTACATTATACTGAAAATTCTCTTCATATGTCTGCTCTTTAGTAACGTAGCCTTCATACTCAGAGTCAGAACTGAGAATGCATGTCAGGTATTCTTTATGGTGTATTCCTTCCGGCTAGTAGCCCATTTTTCTCTAGTGTTCAAGTGTGTCATCAACTCTGGTGGCCGGATGTCTATCACATGAAAGGAAGCTATTCTTGGATTTAAAACTCTGAATAGATGGATGAGCCAAATTACTTGCATTCATAACACAAAAGCAGACTACGTTGGCTCTTTTTCTGTCAATAAAAAGCTTTTTGATAAGATGATACATTACTGTGAGTTTACTACAATTGCTATTATTTAAACAGGTTTATCAATAACCCTTTATCTGCAATTTTATCAACCCTTATAGGTTTTGTATGACTGTGACTTTGGCACAATTTCTTTAAATACATTTAAATAAATAAATTTAACACTTTAATTTATCTAAATTGTCTAAACTGTCCGATGGAGACGCTTAGACTGTTAAGTAACTAATAGAGTAGAAGAAAGTAAAGAAGAAGGCTAATAGAAGAAATGGCCAAGTTAAGCTAGTAATGTATTCGAATACAAACGAGTCACTATAAACGATTGGAACTGTTTTAAAAGCTTGTTACTCTTTTGTTATGAAAATGTTTTCACGTTGGCTAACCCGAGTGATTGATGTGACCGAGGTGACTGGAACAGAAGCTTTTAGGGAAATCGTATTCCCTCCCTAAAGCAATTTCCTGACAGGAAATTAGTTCACTCCATTATGTTGATTTAACACCAAAATGTATTAAAGATTAATCGCTTATACAAACTTTACTTTCACCAAATCTTGATTGTTCTATATCCTATAGTATCAATAAGAAAATATTTTAATTTCCATCGTTTTAGTATGTTCATCCTAGGATGGCAGCAGTTAAGTATTACCTGTCTTCCGTCACAAAAAACTTTTGTGAGTCGCCGCTGACCCTTAATCAATTTATGGGGCGCTAACTGGAACATGGAAAATGTATTAAAGCTCACTGTGGGAACGAGCTGTACGGCAAACATAGTTCCAAAACACTCATAATATTACATTCTAACTTTTAGTTTTTTCTCCCCCGAGGAAATTATCAGTGTTATTTTGTGTGACAAAAGTTTTGAAGATATCTATTTTGCCTGGGCCATTTTAACTTTGTTCTTTCTTCTATCACACCATTACGAGTTAAATTATAATATCACTGAAAAATACTACTAAAAACAAATCAGAACTTCATGGTGCGTTTCAAATCCACATTGGGAACAAAAACAATTACTTAATAAAACACAACTCAATCAAAATTAATTGCTTTACGCATTAATCTCTTTATCTTCCCTTACCTACAAAACAACGTGTCCGTTCTCCAAGGTAATGGAAGCAATCATTCCAGATAAGATCCCTCTAATGTGAGAAAAGGTAGACGTTCCGTCCGGATCGTTAATTTAATTTGAAATAATAAAAGTTATATCCATCATTTATCACTTTCGACAAATTTATTTTTAAATGCCCACTTTGACGTCCTTCTTATCTGTGACTGGCCAGTGGGTTGGGGGTAAAAAGACAAAAAGGTCTGTTATAAATAGGCGTAGGCGTGCCGCTGTCGGCAAGGCGTCAAGCCGTCATTAATTCGAGGAGGCACAGGCGCGACCGCGCTGCTGGACAGTCTACACCAGTAACCCGCAGAACCTTTCCAGACTGACCCTGACCAGTTGACCACACATCCTTTTCCTGACTATTTCTTATTAGAATACACTTAGGTACTAATGAGCAAAAACTCTGCGATAAACCGAGTTTAATATTTTTCCTGAAATCGTTAAATATAAATACGATAAAAATAAATTAAATTAGACGTGTCAAAAAAAAAAACGTTGTGAGTACCTAATTCGTTAGCAGGTCCTGTCACGGGCACATTCCATCGTCGAGTAAGTTTTCGTGTTCGGTCTGACTGTCCGTCCGTAACTCACACGGTATCGGTGCCATCTAAATTGAGATTTTATTGACGATTACTGTTCTAGCGACGATATCGTTGCGATCTTGGCGCCCGGCTGGACCGCTCCGCGCCTGCCGGCCGCCGCACTTTGATCCCACCCTGATGTAATGCTTTTCGAACCCTTCATTTATAATACGGACGTGTGATTTTATACGTACATATATAAATAAGTATTTAGGCCAAATTAAGGTTCTGAATGGCAATTTTTATGTGTTGTAAGAGATAATGTTCAATTAGCTGACTTTTACCTTGTTTTTCTAGCTTATAACAAAGCAGGCATCCGAAAACATTGGCATTTTATTGCTCGTTGGCGATTAATGTCTTACTTACTGAAATGAAAATTCTTTCTCGTTCCCAATCACAGTTTGCTGACCATTCAGAAACATTTTAACGACTGTGCTCTGACATCGATCAGGACATTAATTTCTATATAACCTATTGTTTCTCATGCTTACAATGTATGGTATTCTAGTGACCACGGTCCCGGCCATTCATGTAGCTAATCAGGCAGATAATTGATCATGTTTGTTTTAATTTTATTACCAAATGCTTCGACTTTTACCATTTCGTCAACAAGCTTTTCTTGTATAAGTATGTTTTTCCTCGTAACTTCTATTCACCAACGCATCTGAATACTCATTCAAAAAGTGTACCCAAGTCGGACAAAAACTCCATCCCTCTGAAGGCTAATGTAGCCGGGAGGGATAAATGATGATGGCACACGGAGCACGGAGGTCACCGTAGTGAATCGCTCGTGGGGGTTGATGGATCGTGTAATCGTAACAGTATTTTTTAAGACCACACCGAAGCAAATTTACAGTAATTTCACGCGCGGCAAGTTCACACGCACCTGTGCCCTGTCGATAGCTTTGTTTACGTAGATAACTATTAAAAGGGTTGAATTAAACATCTAAATTTAACGCTTCGCATCGATGAAATAGAATCGTTTCAAAATATTTTCAAATCAAGAAATTTATTGGCAGGTCAGGAGGGATCCTTTGTGATGACACGCATTGTCATATAACTATA